CACCAGCAGAAGAGTCCCACTGAGTGACTTTCCTTTATTCTCTGAGATAGAATCCAAACCAAAGGTGGTTCTCAGATATCTGGACGTGTGCAAGGCTGATGGCACAGACCCCAATCTGAATATCAAAGATCTGCACCAACCTCAACCAGAAGTGACTCTGAAGAAAACGAAAAAAAGGAAGGCACCATCAGAAGGATCATCCCAGCAGACACCCAAGAAAAGAGGTAATTTATCTGCTGCTTCTATTTTAAATTCTTCTACTATTCCAGCATCAATTCCACCTCCAACTTCTCATAGAATCTCAATCCCCATCCCAACAATAGATGAAACTGAACCAGAAGATGACCCTTCTGAGGCATTACAACTCAGAAGACCCAGAACCAAACATCCCAAACCAATAATCTCAACAACATCAGCAATTGACAAAGTGCTGTCTGACATTGATCAACACACTTCTGATCACTCCTCAATCAATCCAAACTCTGAACCACAAATTGTCCCTCCTCCACAACCAGAACAACAACAATCTGCTGAAGAACCAGAACAATAACAACCTCTCTCATCCATTCCAGAAGAACCTCTTATCCCTGAACAACCAGCAATTCCGTCTCCCTCTCCTCAACCAGATATTCATCCACCATCACCTCAACCTGAGTTTCATCACTCTGAAACTCCCTCTCCTCCACCTTCTGAACCTCAATCACCTCAACCATCACCTCTGGCAATCCAGCTGCCATGTGGAACAACAGTCACAATGGCCCAGTTGCCATCCCCATCAGAATCAACACCACCAAATACTCCCAAAACACCACACAGTCCAATCATAATTTCTGATTCTCCCACTCCATTTCCAAAACAAACAGCTCCCAAGCAAACCACCGAAAACCCCAGCAGGACCTTCATAGACCTAACAATCCTTGACCGTCTTGCTGACCTGAAAAATAAAATAGCCATTCCAAAACCAAAACAACCAGATGTTGGCTCTGGTATTATGAATTTTGAAATAGGTTTGCAGCAGTGGATCGCTTCTTTGAAGCAAGTCTGTCCTGGAATGATTGACCCAGCTGCCTCTGACCAGCTCTGGTCACAATTCAGAATTTGGGTACGTGCTGAAGCCCTCAAGTTGCAGGATATCAACTATGAGCAGGCACAACAGAACTTCAGCAAGTTGCTGAAGGAAGTTGAAAGTCAGCTGCCACAGGAAGACGTGCTCCCTCTGGATAGTGAGCCATGGTCTGAGAAACAGCAAGCTCCAAAGGTACAACCAGAAGAAGACAAGACTATTCAAGCTGAAGACAGTCAAGCTGAAGATTTTGCAGAAAGCTCTCAGAAGCTCCCTGCTTCTGATGTTTCTCAAACTGCCTTGGATAGGCAGACTCTGGAAGAACTGAAGCTAAATGACATTCGTCTGCAGCAGAAGATGGATGAAAATGACCAGAAGATGAAAGAAAGGATGGATGCACAGGATAGCAAGATAGACACAGTTGTCAGCATGGTACACAAGCAGAATGAGACTGCTGATCAGATCAAAGCCATGCTGGAGAACCTGTTCACACGCCTTCCTCCCCAATCTTAGTTTTTCATTCATATCATTTTCATGTTTTCTTTGATTATCTGTTGTACTGTTCTGTTTGATTCTGAACCTTTTAATATGACAAGTTTTTCTTCCTTAAATGTTTTAGCACATCACTTACACTTTTTGATTGCTGACAAAAAGGGGGAGAACAAGAATGATATTTTAAATAATAATGGATTACTAAGACAAAATTCTCGAACATTCTAACTCTGATATACTTGAATATGTTTTCTGTTTTGCTTAAGTATACAGGTACAAGAAAGCTCATGATACTCTGAAGACTAAAGCTCTGAAACTCTGACCCGCTCTGATACGCTGACCCAAAGCAAAGCTCTGACAAGAAAAGCTCTGATACGCTGATCTGAAGCTCTGCTCTGATATGCTGATCTAAAGCTTCTGATAGTCAAAGACTCTGATACTCTGATGTTCAAAGAAAGGCAAAAAAACTCTGATACTCTGATGTTCAAAGAAAGGCAAAAAGATCTGATCCTGAAGAACTCTTGGAATCAAAAAGGGAAGTAATAAACTCAGGGGGAGTATCTCTCAACTCTGATCCCTTATCTTTGATAACATCTTATCATATTAGTTATCTCTGATACATCTCTCTGATACCTTTTCACGTTATTTTCAATTAAAAATATCTAGTTTTTGTCATCATCAAAAAGGGGGAGATTGTTAGAACAAAGTTTGAATCTACTACCCTATGTTTAAGTTTTGATGATAACAAAGTGAAAAGATATATTATTTATATGATTCATGTATGAACTATTTGCTACCTAAAATATTACGTTCTGCCTTGCAGAAACTCTGATAGGTATAAGCAAGAGCTCACTTAAATCAGCATCAGAATATTGGTTCCTGACACCAGCATCAGAAGTTGCTGTATCAGAATACCAGAATCAGAAGATCAACTCACATTTATGCTGAAGCTTGATGAACAGAACTGCGCTCAACACTCTGATACATAAAACAACAGTTCATCAGCAGTTAAGCAGAGTTAGAATGAGCCAAGCCAGAACATGCATTAAGTAGCAACGGTACTGTGCATTAAAAGCAAATTATTACCAACGGCCTCATTCCAGACAAGATCTGCTCAATAAGGAAAGTTTGTTATTAGCATTGAATCAAGAATATTGCTCCAACGTTCAAGAATCTCAGTGCTATATAAACAAGACTATGAAGATTGAATTGGCTAATGCTCTCCAACATATTCACGTCAAAAAGCCTATCATAATCTTCCTTCTCTCAGTTTGCTAAACGCTACATATCATCTCACTCAATCACTGTTTAGCAATCTAGTTGTATAAGCTTAAGTTGTGTATACATCACAGTTGTGATACAGTTTTGTAGAAAACATTCACACACATAGATTTATCTTCTTTGTAAGAAAGTGTTTCCTTGACAAACCGGGTTGTGGTTTGGATCAAGAAGGCTTTAGCAGTTGTTAAAGCAGTTTGTAATATTCAGTTGAATATAGTGGATTAAGACCTCGTTGGAGAGAGGCGAAATCACCTTGACGGGTAGACTGGAGTAGTTTGAGATTAAACGAACCAGGATAAAAATAACTTGTTCATTGCATTGATTTTCAGTATACAATTCAACCCCCCCTTCTTGTGTTTTTCACTTCTTCATAGAGTTATATCTTTTGTCTGCCCTTTGTTTGGCAATGAACACTTGAATTGGGGAAATATATATTTTTTCGTCAATTAGGTCACCGATACATCTTAACCATGTATCGTTCTCCTCCTCGTTGAATTGAGATTGCTTCCATGTAGGCGTATTAATTTCGACATAAAGCATGATGTCTTCCCCATACACTTGTGTGGAGGGAGTCTCTTTGATAATGGAATAAGGGGTGGTGTGATATGACCATAATGCTTTGTGTAGTGGTTCTGCCCATACCCATTTGGTATCATCCAACTTCTTATTGATTCCCTTAAGTATCACTTTATTTGTTGATTTCGTTTCCCCATTCACATGTGGATGAACAACAAAAATGAACTTTGTTTGAACTCATAGATAGTTGCAGAAGCCGACCACAAAGGTATTGAAGAATTGGGTTCCATTGTCTGAAATGATAACCCTTGCAAACCTAACCTACACATAATTCTTTGCCAATAAAAGGGGAACCCTCTCTACCTTAATCTTGGATACGACTTTTACTTTTATCCATTTTGTAAGGTAGTCCACTCATACGATAAATAATTTAGTTGGTCATGAGTCATGGGAAGAGGTCCTAGAATGTCCTTGCCCCACTAATAAAATGGTCAGGGAGTTGTGATAGAATGGAGGAGCTCAGCTGGTGCATGATGTAGATTGGAGAGCCTCTGGAATTTGTCGCAATTGTTGACGAATTCCATGTTGTCTCTCATTAATGAAAGCGAATAATAACCTTCTCTTGACAGCTTATGAGCCAAGGTCATCCGTAAATATGAATTCCACAAGCCTCTTGATGAACTTGCGTAAGGACCAAGGCGATTTGTGTTCCCCCAAGCACCTTAACATGGGAGACGCCTTTCACAACTTTTATAGCCTCCCTAACATCAGACCATATTTTACTGCGCATTTGCCGATTTTCTTTGTCTCTAACTCGTCTTATGGTAATTTGTTTGATCACACGATATAAACAAAATATGAACGACGTATCTGAAGAAGGGATGTTTTATCCCACAAATCAGTACTCAAACCATATAATAGATGACAAGTAAAAGACATATTTCCGTCACACCCCCTAGAAACCCTTTTATTTATACCACTATCTATAAATTGTAATTAATTCAAGTTAAGCATATTTTACTAGGTAAATTGAAGTAGCTATATGTTAAATTGAAAAATTGACAAATAAATAAATTGAATTAATCAAAAAAATTATACATGGTTCACGAGTGTATAAAAAAAGAAAATATTTTATACAAAAAAACAATAAAATGTCAATATAAAAGGGATCTCAATATCTAATGCCACGTAATTTTGAATTATTTTATCATAGTTTTATTTATTTTGAAGTATTTGTATTATGAAATGCAATTAGAAGTTGACACGTCAGTTTGAATAAAAGGAAGTGGACACGTCAGGTTTCTTTTCCTAATTAATATAGGGCTAGCTTTGATATTTATCTATTAAAAAAATAGAACAACAAAAACAAATTATAACATTTTTTATTCATTAATAAAAAAAATATTAAATAATAAAAGACAAAAGAAAACATATAAAATCCTCAAAGTACGTGTATTATTTAGTACTTATACATCGTCAAAATATAACCAAGAATATATTTTGTCATTGCCAAAAAAGAATTTCATTTCTTCTTGAAAAGTGGCATAAATTTCCCATATTAATCACAAAGTATTTTCACCATTTGTCCCAAAACAAATGAGTATAAAAGGCACATTTCATTTCACACAACACAACTACACCCTTCCAAATGAAAGAAAAAATGAACCACTCACTATCAGCTACTATACTCCTTGCACTTCTTATATTTACTACAGGTACTTGTCTAATATCTATCATTGTTTTTTATTCTTAATATTTAGATTCCTCTAATTAAGTCATTGTTATTTGTAAACCTTAACATTTGGATTCATCTAATTATGTTTGCAGTAATATGGAAGGCGCAAACATGTGAACTAACGACGATTGGAGGTGGTTGTCCTGATCTTTCAAAATGCATGCAAACTTGTCTACCATGTTATAAGGGCATAGGTCAAATCAGATACTATTGTCGTTCTGGAGGTTTTCCTATATTACTACCTACATGTGTTTGTGTAATGACCAAAGGTGCTCCCTGTCAAGTACCTGGCTGCCCTAAACCTCCTGCAGCTGCCTTATCTGCCAACTTCAATCAAACTCAAATGAATATTACAGCTTAATATGAATGATTATCAATAAATTATATAATTATTTATTGCTCTAATTTATTTCTTCACTAATCATGGTAGAATGTATTATCTTAACATTTTAAAAGACACAAAAGCGTGTGAGACGTTTAGATGGATGAATTTCAATGGTAAAATGTAACATATGAAAATTACACATAAGAAATGTACAAGACACACTCTACAACTTCACACGCAATGGTAAGAGCTATGATGCTGAGGTGTAAACCACCTTATTTGGCTAAAAGTTTAAGTACTTGTTATGTAAGTGAAACATGTACACCTCAACATAGTTAGAAGTTATTTTGTACTGGGAAATAACAAAATAACTAGTCTTTTTAAAATGAAATATTTTCTTTAAACGTGTACAATTTAAACAAATAGCTAGCGAAACTATGTTGGGAGCTCAATAATAATAATAATAATAATAATAATAAAATAAATAGTAAAAATTTCAAACTTTTAATATTAACAGAGAATAAAAATCAAGAGAGCTAATTCAGTAAAACTCTCCAATATATAAATAACAATATATAAAAGATTTTTCTAATAATACTAGAAAATAACAATATTCACACTAGTACAGAAATGACTTTTTACATCAGATAAAATTGACTTTTTACATTGGTTCTGGGTTCGATGTAAAGTCAGGCAATATAGTAAATTAGAGATTTTTTACATCGGTTCTGGTTCCGATGTAAAAAGTTCCTTTTTTACATCGGTTGTGATCTAAGACTGATGCAAAAAACAATTATAATATTATTTTAAAAAAATTGACGCAATATTTTACATCGGTTAAAACGTGCGGACCGATGTAAAAAGTCCCTTTTTACATCGGTTGTGATCTAAGAATGATGTAAAAAACAATTATAACATTATTTAAAAAAAATTGACGCAACTTTTTACATCGGTTAAACGTGTGGACCGATGTAAAAAGTCCCTTTTTTACATCGGTTGTCATCTAAACCCGATGTAATATATACAGTTTTGAAAGTTTTTACATCAGTTGGGAGTAATAACCGATGTAAAATGTAAGAAATTTTTTTAGAATAAATTGTTTATTTTCTGGATGTTTCTCTGTAAAAAAAATTGGTACCCATTTTTTCATATTTTTCCAATATCACACAGACTATATTTATGTTGCTATATAGATTTCATAGCTTTCCAACATCATATAGATCACATCTAGGTCGATATTTTCATATTTTTCACAACAAACTTACAAAATGAACAATTGTATTGCAAACTTGTATTGTATCACAACAAACAAACTCAGAACAAACTTACAAATACATATTCTTCACAAAACATACAAAAATATTCAACTATTTATAAGTCTTTTTCCAAACTTGAATTACCAATATAAAATCTACAAGTAGATGAGTTATAACTTTGGTAGACAACACCAAAATCACATTGCCTGACAATAAATAATAACAATTAACATCAGCAAAAAAAATCAAGAAACTCAATACATGTGCAAAAACCACATGTAATGTGCAAAAACTCAATAATAAGAATTATGTGCAAAAACCACAACTTAGACAATTCTATAAAACTCACCAGATAAACTTAATTTTTATATAACTCAAAGAATCATTTTGCCCAACAGAGTCGTAAATCATACAAATCATCTTGTGTTAATTCTGTTGGGTCATCAAATACCTATAATACATAAATATAACAATATAGAGTTATTCTTTAAAAATTCATATTAAGTCGAAAAACAAAAAGTAAATAACAAAGTAAAGTTATTTTTAGTACCTGCATTCAATTCTCAGTTATATTAGCAGAGACAATATCGAACATATTTTTCATCACATAGTATCCACAATCATTAGAGTTATGTTGCTGCCTTGTCTACAATTGAATGACATAATTAGTGAATATTTATCATAAATTTAACTATAGAATTACAATTTACATCACACTTACATTGAGATGAAACCATGTAGCCTTTTTTTCTATTTCCATTTGCCATTTGATGAATCCCAAAAGAACTAATACAGAAAGATAAATATCACATAACTAAATTTACTCGCCAATGAAAAATCACATAACTATTAGTTGCCAATGAAAGTCACATGAAAGATAAACTTACTTTGTAATAATTTTCTTCGTGTTCTGGTCAATTTCCCGATGAAGTGAACAAAATACGACAACTAAATTGTCTCTTGGACACATGACTATTAATTGCCAATGTCTCATGTACGTGTGTGTGGAAACAGAAAAGTCACATAAAATATATATGTTATCAAAATTAAATAATATAAAACACAATTTCATAAAAATTCTTACCCATGAATTAATGGTAGTAAGTGACACACTCTGTTTTCATCACGTAACTTTTCTAGTACGTAATTTTTAACATCCTCTTGAGATTTCGCTCCATTATCATTATAAATACACATAGCAGGGTCCATAAATCTATATAATTCTGAAATAGAATTCTCAAGACATACACGATGAATATACCTGAATAATTTTAAAATAAACATTAGAATCAAAGTGATGAGAGATATAACATATTAATAGAGATTGACTTTAATAAAACAATAAAATGTACTTACGTGCACCAAATTTGCAGAATAGACACGTCAAGCCAATGGCCTAAACCCACCAATAACTCTCTGATACACTTAACTGAAATATAAAAATTAGAGACACTCACACAATGACTTAATTGTATTTCCAAATGTTATAATCCATTTTCAAAACCATGAGTAACAATCTCTGAACATCATCAACTTCCACGTCTTTTGTGCTTTCTTTTGTGCTTCCTTTTGCAGCTGAACAACTTCCTTTTCCGCTTCCATCGATAATTTCTATTTTTTCAATGCATTTAATATTATCTGTGTTTTGTGATAAACTCATAGACTTAAGTGTCTCCATTAATGATTGTAGAAACATCTTACGCTCTTTAACCAACTTTTCTTCAAGTTCAACTCTAAGTTTTATTTCTAATGTTGCAAGTTGTTCATTTACGTCAATATGTTGACGTGACCTTCCAAAGTAAGTGCTTTGTTTATGGTGTTTTCCAACACCACGAACACGAACTCCATGCTCATATGTTCCAATGGTTAATGTTAAGATATCGTTAAGTCCATCCGGAACAATTGCACCTTTTTCAGTTTCTTGAACTAGAGAATCATACAAAATGTAAAAACCACAATTAATCAATCACAAATATAATGATACTTGAATTATTTTTCATTGTTTACTTACAATTTTTTTAGCAACCTCTTGTGTAGATTTTGATGTGTATTCTCCTCCTTTATTTTGTCGTGCTCTCTTCTATAACTCATGGAGTGATGGTCGAGATGGACTACCATTATCATCTAATGTGGAATTATCTCTTGATGATGACTTTTCTTTCATAATTTTCTCCTCAAGCAAGCGATACCCTCCACGAGACAATAAATGTGGGTATACATTCTTAGCCACATTATCCTTACCCTTTTGACGTTTTTCCTATTATAAACTCAAAAAGTAATTAATCACTAAATATAATAAAAATGTTATGCACACAAAAACATATAACTCCTACTAACCTTAAATTCAGGGGTATCTCGAATCTTGAGAAATTATTTCCATGCATCTTCCGTAATAAAGTTATACTTGACATATGGAGGAGGATCATTTTCTATGGGATGATTAATATATCTGTCTGTGAGTTGTGTCTTAAAACCTCTTCATCGCTCTCCCGCATATTTAATCCATTCTTTCTTCAACCTATCCTTCTTTGGATCTTTACATTCTGGAATAGTAAAATCAGCCTACAAATATAATATATGTCATATGTTGTTAATTAGTATATGATTATAAAATATAATAAAGTATTATATTTAAAATACCCGAATATCAGCCCAAATACCATCTTTTACGCCTTCATCTACTTCTTTCCAATCATTTTTCACAATACTACAGTACTGCCGAGCAAGACATGCTATATAACTCTTAAAATGTGTAGCATTTTTACCAACACCAATACATTTATAGGTTCTTGCGTTAAACTCGACCTTTATCTTTTCACCTGTTTGATGAACTTTGTCAATTTGTGTCATGAAAGTGGGACCTCTAACTCTTCTTTTATTGGGGGTTACTAGATGAAGAATGGTTGTCGTTTGAATCACCCATGTATCTGTTTACACAAAATAAAAATAATTAGAAATAATATTAAGCACAAAATAAAAACAATTAGAAATAAAATTAAGTACAAAATAAAAACAATTAGAAAATAAAGTAACGTGGAATTAACTTATAAAATAAATCTTACTAGTCCTCCCATATCCCTTCTTCATGGTCTATGCGAATAACATGCACATCATCCCCTTCATTTTCTTAAATGAATGTAGTCACATTTGTTGAGAAAGGACGAGTTTCAGAAATATCAAGATTCTCATCATGATTTTCATCACTATCATGGACCTTTCCTTGTAAAACCACTGACCACTTTTTATTAGAAGGATCTGTGACATAAAATACTTGTTTTGCTTGAGATGCCATGATGAAAGGTTCGTTCGCATAAGCTAACTTGCTAAGATTAACCAGTGTAACTCCAAATTCATCGATTCTTACACCACAGTTGATATCAATCCATTTGCATTTAAATACAGGAACTTTAAACACAACATAATTAACTTCCCAAATCTCTTCAATCACCCCAAAGCACGATGTAGATGCCATAAACGAGTTTTTATCTTTAGCACTAGAGAAGTGCATGGACTCGGCCACAATCATTATTCCACTATTTTGCATGGTACTACGGTCATCCTTTAACTTTGTGTAAAAAGAGGTTTTATCAATATTATATCCACTCCAAGTAATTATGTTACATTTAGGCCCATAAGACAACCACTTAATTGTATTAGAAACACAATCTTCATTAGCAATTCTTTCTTTAAACCACTCAGAGAAAATCTTATTATGCTCTTTTAACAACCCTCTTTCATTCATCTTGGGGTACTTTTTCTTTATGATGCTTTTGTGAGAAG